TATAACCTAAATTAGCTGAAAATAACCCTAGAACCTAGAGGCTACTGTTCCTTTAAAGGTCCAATCGATGCACTTGTTGATTTTCATTTTTAGAAGTGGTCAAAAATTTTTAGGGTCGGTCGGGTAACCGGAAACAAACATTTTTTGTTGTTGCCTCAGTTCGTAGGCCTACTGATTTCCCCGGGCAACGCCGGGTATCCCGCTAGTATATATATATACAGACTTGCTCTACATATTATATTTATCTAGTCCTTTGCAGTAAAAATACCTTGTTTTTTTCAGGTTAAACTTACTTCACTAGAAGCCGTGCACTGCCCTGCCCGGCGCATTGTCGAGGACGTTATGCTAGCTCACCATGAACCGGGAGGCCACGAACTACCTAAATTGGAAAATTTAAAGCGCATGGCGAACAAGGCCCGAGCAGACCTCAGACCGACAGAACCTCGGGCGCTTGACTTTGAAGTAAGTATAATTCAGAATAATTTATTACACAGATATGGATTAAAACATGTGAATACTAATATTGACCAAAAATCATCAACATCATGACAAAGATGCCAGATTTCCACAGTAATATATCTGTTATCGGTATATACAATATACCGATATAATGATAACAGAATTTTTATCATGTCTGCTACGGTTCCATATGACATAGTTATTGTATCCCCCGAACGAAGGCAACAACTGCTCGTTTCTAGTTTTATCAATATTTTTTACGATTACATATTTTATAGATAGACACAGACTATTTGAAATTGAATGATTTCCTTGTCGGAGATGTACGTCTAGACAATCAGCGACACCTCATTTTTGCATCACCCATCCAATTGGAGCTGCTGCAAAAAGCAAAACGGTGGTTTTGCGATGGCACGTTTAAGATAGTCACTGCCCCGTTCCAGCAAATGTGGTCAATCCACGTATTTATACGAAAAGGGGCAAGCATTAAGCAGGTTCCTCTTGTGTTCTGCCTAATGTCAAGGAGAAAAACAAGAGACTATGAAGCGGTAAATATTTTTTATCTGTCTGTCTGCCTGCAGTCTGTCTGTCTGTCTGTCTGTCTCTGTCTGCAGCCAATCTATCTGTCCGTGTCTGCCTGCAGCAAATCTGTTTGTGTCTGCCTGTGGTCTGTCTGGCTGTCTGTCTGCCTGCGGTCAGTCAGTCAGCATGGCCTTGATGTTAAGACAATACAAAAATAAGGTTAATTGCAAGCATTCAAGAACTTGTCTATTTGTCAGAAAAGCCGGAATCAAATGGGCCGGAATAAGGAAATTACCAATATTTGCATGATAAGAAAGCATTTTAATTGCCAATAACATCAATACAGGAATGTTAGAACTAAAGATGCTTTTCAAAGCATATTATATAGAAGTTTTGTTGTATATCAAAAGTATGACAATGCCCTTAATTACAGGTGTTTCAGAAGCTGAAGGAATGTATTCCTGTCCCACAGGTCCAGGGATTTGTGATGGACTTTGAGAAAGGTAATAACATATATATATACATTGTACAAGTAACATGTGTAAAGTATCAAATGTCCAGACATAATTGAACACACATTTATTGGTGTTTACCCGAAATCATGGCTGATACCAGAGAGATGACTACTTTCAGTAAGCAGTGTACATACGCGGGTATACGTGTTATTTCCTCTAAAAAAACACATAATCCAATTCAAATATATCACATTCCAACTATATTATGGAAGTCAGTTAACATGCGTGTTTTAATTTAAAAAAATGTTCTTGTATGCCTTAAACTGTGTTTCACTACATTCTAACAGGTGCCTGGAAGGCAATTCGTAATGAATTTCCAAATGCGCGCATCAAGGGATGCGCATTTCATTTTAGCCAGGCAGTGTGGCGGAAGACCATGGAGCTCGGACTGAAGACAACATACAGCCTCCGAGGACAGGAGTATAGGTGAGTCAAAATATGCTTAGGTGTTATTTTCAACGTGGCAGATTAAAACCCCATTTAATTATTGTTAAATAAAATGAATATTTATTTTCACTGTTTTATGTTTTTGGACAAATGGTTCTTCCTCTTTCATAAGTTGGCATTACCTGCACGTGACTTATAGTAGATTCAGTGCTGAGTATAGAATAGTAATAATGAAACGGTTAATTGTGAGCAATAAAAGATGAAAAAATGTCTCCTTCAAACAATTATGTCAGGCAGAACACTCAAGTTCCCGAACTTTAAATGCATCATTTTTCAGGGTTTACTTTTCTCTACACGTATATTTTCATGTTTTATATGTGAACATGTTTGGAATTCATCAGGTTTTAACTCACATTCTTGTGTTGAATAAACCAAAAGTGTTTCATATATTTCTGCCAATCTCGGTTATCTCTTTATAACCTTAGCAAGTATTTTGACTCAGGTATATACGTAGGCCTGATGGCATTGCACATTTTTACCTGCTGCTTGAACATCAGCGCCTCTTCAACACTGGAAACAGAAGGGAGCCAGATACCTCACTTCATCAACTGGTAGAGGTACTTCAGTGAGGAGCTGGCGAGAATCCGAACCTGGGCAGCTACAAATGGATGGATGTGTACAACGCTGGGCCATCAGGACAAACACGATGTTGAAGGTAAATAGTTTTAACTTAACATAATACGTATGCGTGGACTCGAGACCCTATACTTCCAGTACTCAGTTTAACATCTATAGAAACGTAAGCCTGCGTCAGATTCGTAGCAAAAATCAATGATTTCGATATTTACTTTTAGTTCCTATGTTTATACACAAATTCGTTACTCGCAGTATATTTGATTAACTCGGTAATGGTTTGACCGCGCTTACTTACAAGTTATAGTGAAGTACTTGCTCTAGTGTAACCGTATGACGAAAGCAATGTGTTATGGAATGTGAACTCAGAGAAGAAGGTGTCAAGAACGATCAGAGCGTTCTTTGATCTGATGTTAACACAAATTTATGTGCGTCTTTAATCCAGATTTGAATTTGCTAATACCTTTTATAGGACTGCCAATACCGAATACTACAACTAGCTAGCGGGAATGCAAACTGGCATCTCTACAAACTACGATCCCATTTTGCAGACGCGCGGAGTCTGGAACGCATCTATCGACCTTACTCAGCACAGCCACTGTAGCTGAATGAGCGGTCCTGCTGACCCAGACGATACAGCAGCAGCGAAGAATCTGGCCATGGCAGCTCGCCGTGCGACAATTACTGCTGGCAAAATATGCTAGACACAGGATGATGACAGTGCCATCGGCAGCTGCCTTCAAAGGCACCTGCGGCAAAATTTAC